ATTAATATTCTCTCGAGTCTCGATTTGCATTCACCGGTAAGATATCGTAGCGAGGTATCTTCATGGTGCCAAATGATACCGACCCGAGTCTGGAAAAGCCGCACGCATTTGGATGCAAACGAACCGAGTACTCCTTGCACTTATCCCGGGCGACCAGCGAGAGCTTTTTCTCTTGCGACGAGCGTCGTGACGCCTCAACTGGAAGCCGGCCACTTCTGCGCTTGGGTTTATATTTAAACGGCGGAGCGCTGCCGGCCACGTCGACGTCGACGTCGACGTCGACGCATCGTCTTTCCCAATGCGTCGACCGGACGTCGGAAGGAGAGAGAGAGAGAGGAAGAGAGAAGAAAGAAAGAGATGAAATGTATGTCGAGGAAAAGAACGCGTTGAGAGAAATACCAGACTAAAGGAGAAAAAATCTCCGCTTTCGCGAAGCAAAAATATCTTCGAGATGTACGACACGATACGTTGGCGCACGTGAAATATTCAGGCGATGTTTTAAAGAGAAATATTATTCGAGAAGGGAAGGACTGTGAGTTTCAAGATTTCGTAAATATATATACACGGCGTACGAGTACGAATGAAAGACTAGATAGTTGCATAATAATTCTTGGGAGAGATATTGCGCTTATTATTTTAAGATATTCTCCTTTTATTTGTACTTGTGCTAATAATTTTCCAGATATAAAGCTTGGACTTTTATAAATATGTGATTATGTTCTCTTGTTATTGTTTGAGATGATTTTTTTGGAATTTTCTTATACATCTCTCACGGTGTTTTGGCACAATGCACAGTTTTATGCACACACAAGCAGACGACGTAGGATGAAACGTTGGAAAAGTCGTGCTAATAAAAGAACGTATAAACATCGATATTGCAGGACCTCCCACGTTGGCACGTATTTATCCGACACTTTAAACGGGATCAGTCAGGGGAGTTCGCACATGGCGAACAAACGTTTAACGGTTTGCAACGCGAGAAAAGCGAGACGGCACAAAGCTGCGTTTGCAATTGATGAAATGCAGACATGAATATTAATTACCATTACAATTAATTGTTTGATTATTAAAATATGAATTGTTAATAGATAACGATTACTACTCCCCGTTTAATTTGAAATGGAATCTTAACAAAATTTTAATTCAATTTAGCCGTAGATATATGTGTCTGTAATAACATCAAAAATTGAGAATTTGTTAAAGCCCGCTATGTGAAAGCGAAATAAATTTAAAAATCTGTTGTCACAAAGCTAAAATGTCGTTCATCAATTTTGAAATAATTCATGTCTCAAATATTTCAATCAAATATCTATAATTTCAACCTCTCGATATTTTATCATGGCATACATGAACGCGTATAATAGTTAGTCCTGCAGATACAGGACTTGCGTACACTAAATTCAATCAACGTTTGCATACGAATTAGTCCTTACACTGGACAGTTCGTGCATGGTGGCATGATGTGGATACTACGTTATCCCTTCGATCGATAAATATTACAGGGGAAACCGGCGTAGATACCTGTGCTTTCATCTCGTCACGCTCGCGATGCGTTCTCGCCGAGGAAAGAAAATCCCGAAGGGAGCATCTCTCGAAGAGAGAGTCTAGAATGTTCTGCGTTCCAGAGCACGCCGTTCGAATCCTCGCGAGGGAATATATCCTCTTTTTTTTTTTTCTTCTTTACCCGTCTGCCCACGCGCTTGAACTACCTACCACTCGCGAAAGAGATAAAAGAATAGAGGAGACGAAGGAGCAGGCGGAGATCTAGGCTGAACGAAGCAACAAAAGGGAGAAGAGAACCAAATACGAGGTCGAGGAAGGAGAGGAAGCGTGATATATGGAGAAAGGGACGGTCCGTGCGCATTTGTGTGTGTACGAGGGAGAACATCTCACCGATATCAGGATGTAGGGTTTCGGGGTACGCCCAAAGGGTCATCATCCTTTCTTGGCGAACCTACCTCCTCCTCGCTTATGTGCATGCCGTGTTTCTACCTTCTTCTTCTCCCCCTTCCCCCCTCCCGCGTTTCTATCTTCTCTTTCGCTGGACGATCTCCCCCTCTCCCCCCCCCCCTCCCTCACTCTATCTTGCTCATGCTCCAACGGTGCACCCCTGCGACGCGCGCTTTTACTCCCTGGCGCGTCTCCAGAGACGAAGAAATACGATTCGCCCCGCGAGAAAATGGCGTAATTATATACGAGGGCGGGTAGAAGAAGAAGAAGAAGAAGAACGTAAATCACAGCGGCGTGGAAGCAACGGGGCGTGCGAGACTTGGGCGAGGAGTCTCTCGCATCCGCCGAAAACGCGATTCGGAAAGGGGTTTCGAGATTTTCTCCTTTCTTTCTAAGAATCAGGAGAGGATGAAAATCTCGAGGACGTTATAAGCACCCCCCGTTATTCGCCCTCTTCTTCTTGTCAGTGGTAGAATTATTTTCCATTCGTTTTGTTCAAAGTCGCTTGCACGTTCCTAGGAAACAGGAAACGAGGGAACAGGAACGAATCTCTAATTTATCGAGGCTATATACAGGTCTTAAGTCGAGCTAAGGAAATTTCCAACCTTCAGTCATCCTGTTTTCATAATCGCGAGAGAGAGAGAGAGAGAGAGAGAGAGAGAGAGAGAGAGAGAGTTGCTGCGTCACGGACGACTATCTGCGGTGCAAGGTTCAATATCCTCCTCATTACGATGGCGTCACTTCAGAAGGGAACCGCTCGCGTGACTCGCTTCTTGATAACGTGACTGACAACCGATGGAGATTCAAGCCCCGTGGATCATACTATGATGATACGGGTGCAATAAGCTCGACATGATGTCGTCGTCTTTATGGGTGCACGATATAACGTCGCATATAGTTACAATTACTTACCATGAGAAAAAATAGAAAGTATACTAAATACTGAGAATAATAAATATACTGAGTAAATAAATATGTGTGCTAAGAAAAAAATATATTAAATTTTAATAAGTATTTATTTGAATAGTACCAACTACGAGTTAAAACATTTATTTACAGTAAATATTAATTAACTTAATAAAAAAAATAGTAATTAAATCAAATTAATGTTCTCGTATCAAATGTGTTTTTATACTCAAAGAAAAGGAAGCACTTCTTATATAGCAATCATGTAAGTGATAATTAATAGAAGTTTCATATGCAGAATTAATGTACATATTTATATATAATTAAATAAACATTTTATAGTTATTGCAACTAAAGTTGAATAATTACAAAAATTAATAAGTTCTTATAATCAATTTTAGTTACAATAATTGTAAGATAGTTTATTCAACTACGTACTAATTCTACATATAAAACTTGTATAGATATCATGTATATAATTGCTATTACTATCTTTTTTTTTTTGAATGTAGTTGGTACTCAAACAAATAATGTGTTAAACTTAGTACATTTTTTAATACAATCATAAATAAAGAAAAAAAAAACATAATTTAGCAACCAATATAAAATAATAAGAAAAATGTATAAATCATAGATGATACAATAATGATTAAATATGACAAATAACTTTCTGAAATTTTTGGAATGGAATTTAATTACAAAAAATGATAAAAAGCTAGTGTTGAAAGAGTGGCTCGATCGTCAATTTTTAAAAGTGAGATTTCACTCTTTAAAATTATATTTCACTTCAAAGATTTTAAAGAAAAATATAGAATGAAAATATTAAATATACGAAGAAAGATCCATGAATACAAATTTGTGAGAAAGATAAATTGTTGATATTTATATGCATTGCACATTCTATTTTAACAAATTTAAATTAAAAAGAAAATATACGCAAGCTATGAGATGCGAAAACTATTAAAGTGACACAAAAGTTAATATATCTAAACGCAATATTATTACTAACATTTACTTAAAAAAAATCGATGTATTTTTTTTATAGAATTAGAACGAGGAGGAAGATGCAAATCACAATGCAATCTCGATTCATCGAATGGATCTTTAGCGTTGACGAAGCTCCCGCGAATAATTGCTTCTTCGCGGTTGGCACAAGCGATGATAAAATTTGCCACGGGATAAATGGCTTTTAATATTAATCTACGACCACTAATAACGGGCTGCGCACCGTGAGGCGTTAACATTAAATTGCAAATTGCATCGCGCACGATTTTATTTATTGTTGTAAATCCCCACATCTGTACTGGCAAACCCAGCCGTTTAAACTTGTAATTATGAATTTGCGTAACAATCAATATGCATGGGTCTTCCAACATTTTCATGGAATTGATACTCATAAAACGTCGATAGGAATGTACATATACATATACATATACATACACATGTTCATAGACGTGCAAATAAAAATGTCTATGTCCATGTCCATGTCCATGTCCATGTCCATGTCCATGTCCATGTCCATGTTCATATCCATGTCCATGTCCATGTCCATGTTCATATCCATGTCCATGTCCATTTTCCATTTCCATGTTCATATCCATTTCCATGTCCACGTTCATGTTCATTTCCATGTCCATGTCCATTCCCATATCCATTTCCATGTCCATTTCCATGTCCATTTCCATGTCCGTGTCCATTTCCATGTTTATTTCCATGTTCATGTCTATTTTCATGTCTACTTTCATATCCATATCCATTTTCCATTTCCATGTTCATGTCCATGTTCATTTCCGCATGTCCATTCGATGGATCGAGATTGCATTGTGATTTGCATTTTCCTCCTCGTTTTAATTCTATAAAAAAAATACATCGATTTTTTTTAAAACATTATTTTATTGCATAATTCTCGTTTTTAAAGAGAATCTGGTTTTAAAGTATAAAATTTGTGATTTTGTAACGACTTCTTATTCGGAGATCCACTTTACATTTCTCCCTGTTTGTGGAAGTACAACTTTCCACACGAGTCGAAGTGCAGTCC